AAGTTCAATAATCCCAAAAAGGCTTGTAGCTCGGCTTTAGTGGTTGGCGTGGGTGCCTCATGAATTGCCTTGACCTTGGACTCTAGGGGGTGGATGCCTGAGGCATCAATTCTATAGCCCAGAAAGTCCACCTGTCTAGTGGCAATGGCACATTTTTCCTTTTTTAATTTGAGGCCATGCTGTCTGAACCTGTCTAACACTGCTCTGACTCTCTGGAAAAGTTGGGGTCTGTCCCTGGCTGAGACCAATATGTCGTCGAAGTAGGGTACTACGCCAGGGAGGCCCTGTAGTATACGCTCCATGAGGGATTGGAAGATGCCAGGGGCCACACTTACGCCAAATTGGAGACGCTTGCACCGGAAGGCACCCCTGTGGGTCACAATGGTCTGCAGTTCGGCTGTCTGGTTGTCAACAGGGAACTGCTGATACGCTTGTGACATGTCCAATTTGGCAAAAATGTTGCCAGGCTCAAAGGTATGCAATAAATGTTGAATGACCGGGACTGGGTACGCGCTAACTTGTAGAAAGCAGTTGATTGTTGTTTTGTAATCTGAACAAATTCTCAGGCTGCCGTCCTTTTTAAGGGGTGTGACAATTGGCGTTTCCCATTTGGCGAAGTCTGTCGGCTCAATGACCCCTTGCTTTAATAATTTATTGAGTTCTGCGTCCAGTTTAGGCCGAATGGCGAATGGGACTCTACGCGGTTTCAGCCTGACTGGAACCGCTTGGGGATCAACTGCAAATGAGATGGGGGTACCCTTATAACACCCCAACTCATTGCTGAATATGTCTGAGTAGTCAGTAAATAAGGAGTCAGTGTCAGAAGCTGAGACAGCATGGACTCCTGTTAACCCTAGGCCAAGGTGGGGGGACCAATCAAGCCCCAGAAGACTGGGGAGGTTGCCGTTAACTACCACTAGAGGCAGGTGGCCTTTAAAAGCTTTAAAATTAACAAGGAACTTGCCTTTGCCGAGCACTGGAATGTCTTTTCCCTGATAATCCCTCAAGGAGATCTGGCACTTCTGGAGCTGGTTTCTGGATAGTCTGGGCTGGATTTTCTTGAGGGTGCTCCAAGAGATGATTGAGAGCGCTGACCCCGTGTCAACCTCCATACGACAAGGTTTACCTTCTAATAAAATGGAAAGTGTTATTTTACTAATAGAGTGACAGGTGTGGTTAGCATGGTAGCAAGTGTGACAATTTAGTACTTGCCTTTGAGGCCCAGAATGGGAAAAGGAAGGAACCTTTTGTGCTGAGTTGTGCGCGGCCTGGCAGACTCTGGCGATGTGGCCTTTTTTGTGGCAATGGTTACAGATGGCACCCTTGAATTTGCATGTAGCTCTCGAGTGAGGTCCGCCACAGGATAGGCACAGGATGATGTGTTTGGGTGCACTGTTGGTTTCTTGCCTGACTCCTGCCTGTGGTTGTTTGGCGTGGGTGAGGCGGTGGATGTCTGTTTGGTCACTAGGGTCGTCTTCGTTGACTACCTCTTCTGAATGAACTGTGGCGCAGCTTTGTTTGGGAATGGGACCTTGAATTTCAGTGGCTGACTGGGTTGCCAGCTCTGCTGCCAAGGCTTCCTCGACGGCCTGGGATAGATTGAGGTCCTTCTTGGCGAGTAGTCGCCTTTGGAGGTGAAGGTCCTTGATCCCGCAGACAAGCTGGTCGAGGAGCATGTCATCAAGATAGTTCCCGAACCCGCAGTGGAGGGCTGCAGTCCTCAAGGCGGCCATATATTGGTTGATGGTTTCTTTTTCCGCTTGCTTCCTCATCCGGAAGGTGAAACGCCTCGCGATTTGTGATGGTCTGGGGGAGTAATGATTGGTGAGAATCTCTAGCAATTCTGCCCAGGGAACATTCTTTAACTCACGTGGAGCGACGAGTGCTGTGGCTGTATCAAAAACGATGGCTCCGCAATAACTGAGGAAGAATGACCTTTTTCTGTGCTCCCCAGCATCAGCCAGACCGATAGCGTCGATATAGTGGTTAAAACGATTCTTGTATGACTCCCATTTTTCTTCTTCCGGCGTGAACGGTGGGAAGGCTGGGTTGGAGTTCATGATGAGGACTCCTGCGCGTTATGCTGTTGAGAAATCTCTCTGGGACAACAAATGGCACTCGTGTTCTCGTCAGGCTAGTGACTACAGCTCTGGAGTGGCTCCACAGAACCTCTCTGCTCTCTCTCTGGGCTGCAATTGTGGCTAAGCTGCAACGGCTGTTGGCAGCGTTTTGATTTTCGCGCTCCTGGAGAGCGTAGGCAGTGTCGGCTTACCGCCTCTGATAGCGCTTGAATTTCACGCCTGTGTAAGTGTCAGTGACTCGGAATAACAGCACCGCGCTGTATTCCGGCTTGAAATTCAAACGACAGCCGTTTGAATTTCGCGCTCTTTTGTATTGAGCGGCTGCGGCTCGCAGCACTTCACTTTCCTCTGTAGCTTGCTAACAAGCGGCTACAGACGCTTATTACTTTCGCTTTTGCTGACCGAGCTCTCCGGCGGCGCGGCTGCGGCTCAGCGGTTTTAGTGATTTCAGCTGTTGCGAATTGCCTCTGGTAGCCATCCCATCCTCATCGCCAGTGTTGTAGTTGAGCAATGAGAGGCTAGACCAGGGCATGGATGCAACAAGACTTTATTGTAGCAATAAAGGACTGAACGTGTTAGCTCTGCCTGGAGCAGGCTCCCAGCGATCAGCAACTGGCCGGACCCTGCAGCTGGCTTTTATAGCCGGCTGTCGAGGGCGGCCAGCCAATGAGGGGCAGCAAACGCCCCCGTAGCATGAACGGACCTGGGTGGGGACTTTGGCAAGTTCCAGGGACATAACAAAAATAATAATTGGAGTCTCTATTTTTCTCCCCAACCTGCCCCCTCTGTGTATGCAGGGGGTGTTTGCTAAGAGAATATCATCAGTGAATCTGGATTACTTTAGATCACGGTGTCAAACTCGACCGCATCACAGGCTGGATCATGACATATTGCAACATTTTTTTTGCCTTTGTGGAGCCCCAGGTGGGCGTGGCCTGCATGTGACGTATCCGACCCGTGGGCCGCCAGTTTGACAAGCCTGCTTTAGATCAACCTCAGTAACTTTAGGATTTGATGACTTCAACTCCACACAGCCAGCATAGGGAATTCTGGGAGTTGAAGTCCACGCATCTAAAAGTTGCTAAGGTTGAGAAACACTAGATGAGAGATTCATCCAGTTTGCTTCTTTGATTGATTGATTTAAAAAAAAAATGCTACCTTTTTTTATTATATAAATAATTCAAGGTGGTGAGCATCCCTAATACTCCTTCCTCTTCCTATCTTCCGCACTACCACAATACCACGAGATGTGTTGGGCTGTGAAGAAGTGATTGACTCAAAGGCACCCAGATAGCTTTCATGCTTAAGATGGGACTAGAACGCTCAGACTTCTGGTTTTTAGGCCAGCATCTTCACCACTACACCAGACTGGGTCCATTATTCTTTACTCAAGTGCGCTCACCTGCTACTTGCATGGAACCATCCCTCTTTGCCTCCCTCCCCCACTTTGCCAACACCACTACTGGTCCACAAAGCCAAAAAGGTCTCATCTGCATCATCTATATTATTATCTACATCTATCTATCGTTTATCTATCATTTATCTATCATCTATCTATCACCTATTTATCACATCTATCTATCTATCTATCTATCTATCTATCTATCTATCTATCTGTCTGTCTATCTATCTATCTATCTATCTATCTATCTATCTATTATCTATCTACCTATCCATCCACCCATCCATCCATCTATATCTATATCTATCTACATACCTACCTATCTATATCTATCTATCTGATTTATTCACCATTAATCTAGCCTCAAAGCAATTCTATTAGAGGACAATAGATGTATGTACGAAGAATGTATGTTCCAGGCAGGTTCCCTGCAACTCCTAAATTTGTCTCCTTTTCACAAATAAGATAAAGGAGTGTGTACCATCATCAATATTGGAATAAGAATAAACTACAAATTTGGTCATTTCCTGTAGGTGAAACGTAAGGGAACCCATCTTATTTTTTGCTTCAGGCATTAAAATGTATTGGGCTAGCTATGCCATACACAAACATATGAAAGTATCCATTCAGAGATTACACTCCATGGAAGAATAAAATTTCACTTCTGAAAGAGATAGGTGGTTAAGAACTGTGAGAAATAAATAAATAAATAAATAAATAAATAATTCGCATCCTTGTCTGATTTTCTGATACAAAACCAATGAATCATCCCACTAAAATAATGTGAAATTTCTGGCTCAGTCTACAAAGGCAGAGAGAGAAGGGGAGTTGACTTCCTGAAAAAGAGCCAATCGAAAAGCAAAGGTGTCTGTTCCTAACCATGATCATGCCAATAGGGTGAAGATGAGTTGTGATGTCATGCCATAAGCTCAGTACTTTTGCATCTAAGTTGATAATGTGTAGGGTTTGCACCACAACATACATCAGTGGTTTCTGCCTATGTCACCCAAAGACACCTATGGTTGCAAGTATAACAGCAATAGCACTTAGACTTATATACCACTTCATTGTGCTTTACATCCCTCTCTAAGCAGTTTATGGAGTCAACAATCTGGGTCCTCATTTTATCCACCTCAGAAGGATAGAAGGCTGAATCAACCTTGAGCCAATCAGGATCAAACTGTTGGCAGTTGGCAGAATTAGCCTAAATACTGCATCACCCTAGGCTGCTACCAAGTACCAGTTCCTAGGTTCTAACTTCTTGTTGGCCATACTATAAAAAGAGGAAAAGAATGTGGCTAAGTAAAATGGAGTGACTCTGAGTATCCATCATTCACTTGTTTTATTGTGAGTCCATGATCTGCCTTCTGCCAGCTGTGAAACGGCAGCAGACCATAATTAAACAGCCAAAGGGAGGAAACGCCACTAAGTCAAGAGTCATTTGGTGCCGAGAGAAAACAACAAGGTGACTTTTGGAGATTTTTATTAGTGCAAAGCAGGGGGGGAACAAACAACTGTGAAACTTATGGTTTAAATGAGTCCGTGGTGATTGTAAAGTATGACTAAAGATTTGCTTGCACTACAAAACAGCAATGCCACAAAGGATAACTTAGAAGGTCACGTGTTCAGTTCCTCTGATTTATTTCCAGCTGCTGTCCTGGATTTGTTGACATCGCTGCAGCGTTTTGAGTTCAGCAGGGTTTTACAAAAAGCCACGAGAGTTCACAGCTCAGATTAAAAAGTGGGGTTCCTGATCTATAGCTAAGCAGTTCCCGGTTTCCGCTTTGCATGACAGAGCATTGCAATTCATGGATAGAAAGAACCATGATCGAAATACATAGACGCTCGTGACAGCTGCCGTAATTATTCCTGGCAAGCCGTGAGACACTCCTATTCAGAGTGATGTCATTGCCAATTGTGATGGCATTATAAGTTGGCATTATAAGAAAAAGAGACCAAGATCAGAAAAACTTCAGAAAAACAACACATAACTGTCTCCTAAACATCGCCAGTTTTCTTTTGCAGAACTACTACACAAACAAAACTACAGCTTCTCTCAAGCCTTTTGTTCATCAAGCACACTCGTTTTCCAACATATTTCTTGTTGGTTATGATTATTCAGCTGGTTTCGCAGGTATCTCTCTTACTCTATCACTTGAGTGAGGTTTAACGTCAGGTATCTCTTCCCCGTGCTTATACACGCTGATGGTGACATCGACTATCTCACCCCCGTACTTGTTCTTGACACTGATGCTGTATTTTCCAGAATCTTCTGATGACACCCCCTTAATTACCAAACTGGCATGCTTCCCTTGTTCCAGTTTAGCTATGTAATGATCGCTCAGTTCAAGTTCCCTGTCATTCTTAAACCACATCACTTCAGGATCAGGACTACCAAACACCGTGCAAGTCAGATTCAGGGTCTAAAAGAAAAAGAACAAGAAAAATTATGCAGAGGTTTTAGACAATGGGAAGTATTACTGGGAGGTTTAGGGAAGGGGAAGAATTTTAGATTGTATATAACAGTGGCCCTCAATCTTTGGGGCATCAGGGACCGGTTTTGTACAGAGGTTTTTCCATGGTTTCGTGTGCTGCCTGCATTCCGTGGATGGGGCTTCACTTTTTTGTGTGGTCTGGTTGCTGATATGCCACGGCCCAGTGCCATGGACCAGGGGTTGGGGATTTCTGGTATATAAGAGAATCCAAGAGAGGATGAGAAAAATTTCTTCTATTTATTTAATTTCAGGCCCAAGCCGTTGTAAATTAGCCTCACTCTGCCCTGGCACTGATTGAAGACATATTTTTGTGTGTGCTTTTTGTTTCCGTGTTGCAGTTCATTAAAACATTTGGGCATTTATTCACAATTTCTTCTTGTCTTAGGTGTAATACCAAAAGGGTCAAGCATATTCTTCAAAGATAAATTCGCATTAGATATAACTGCCAGTTAGCATCTATTATAGACATGTATAGGATGTATCTTCTATGGATTGGTTGATAATGTGCTATTGAGTCGATGTAAATTCTCAGTAACCACATAGATGGATTTTCTCCAAGACAGTCTGTCCCCAACCTATTTCTCTGAGTCTTCCAATGGGATACCCATTGGTACCATAACTGAGTTCATTCATCTTGGTTATCATCATCTTCTCTTTCAAGAAGTGGATTTTCACGGTTTGTCTGAAGTATGATGATTTGAGCCAGGTCATTTGTGCCTCGAGAGAGCTCTGGTTGATTTGTTTGCTGATTCATCTATCATCTCAATCTATCAATCTATCGATCATCATTTATTTTGTGCTATCCATGGTATTATCAGGTGCTTTCTCCAATACCAAATTTAAAAGTATCCATATGCTTTCTATCCTGCTTCTTCAAAATCCAATGGGTTCATACTACTCAAATGTTCTCAAAGGAGGCCCTTTTTGCTGTATACACCAAAAGCTCCTATTCAAAAATAACTAAGCTGACCAAGGGGTTTTATCCATACCTTGTCTTCCATTATGGTCACAACATCCGGCAAACCACCAACCACTTTCCCACGATCTGTGAACATACAAATATAAAGTTACTATGCTCTGTCTAAGTGCTCCGGCTACTTCAGAGAAAAGACGCAACAATAGCAATCCAAGATAAAATAGCACTGGGTCCTTCTCAAGCAGGAGCCCAGCTACCCTAACTCCATGCTTTATGTAAAGCCATGGCCACTACAGAAGACTGTTTTGTGGCTCTAGGGGAGATGGGCAGTTAAGAAATATGAAAAAGAAAGAAAGAAAGAAAGAAAGAAAGAAAGAAAGAAAGAAAGAAAGACTGCAGCATCCAGAAGAACCCCAGCTGCCTTTGCTACACTCCAAACTTCACTCCAAATTAGGAGTCTGTCCTACTCTAAACAGTGCTTTAAACCAGGGGTCTCCAACCTTGGAAACTTGACGACTTATGGACTTCAACTCCCAGAATTCCTCAGCCAGCTTTGCTTTAACCCTAAGGGTTATTTAACCCAGCTTTAAACCCTAAGCAGCCCTCAAAAGAATTGGCTGAGGTTCAGTGGTAGGATTCTAATTTTTTTTACTACCGGTTCATTGGGCGTGGCTTGGTGGGCATAGCAGGGGAAGGATACTGTAAAATATCCAGTCAGAGGTGGTATTTCTGGTTCTCTGAACTACTCAAAATTTCCGCTACTGGTTCTCCAGAACTGGTCAGACCCTACTAAATACCACCTCTGTTGTGGTTACCTTTGTCACCCATCTCTGAAAGGGGAGTCTCAGTGCGAAAATGAAGCAAGCCTTCCTGATCATTTCTTTTTAACCATAGTAGAGTGCCTAGTTTACATCTATCTGTTTAGCAGGCTTTCTGTATAGATAATAGTGGGGGTGGGTGGGAAATCACTGATTCATTCAGTAGTAGCAAAGAGTTGCTATAGGAAATCTGAAATGACTGTATATACTCATGACTAGAAATGGAATGACCATAAGGTTATCGGAATGCTTCATCAAAATGGCAACAGGCTGCATTAGAAAATGTCCAGAACTCAGTGATGAAATAAAACTCACAGCTGAAAGCTTCATGTTAGGTGACAATACTAAATACATTATAGTCACAGACAGAGATCTGGAGTTAGATAGGAGCCCTGAGATGGCCATGTTTGCTGGCAATCTGAAATTGTTTAAGGTAATTGTATTATTTTTTTTAAAAAAAGAAACAAAGGCATCCTGGAAAGTTATGATGTATAACTGGGTGAAAACATAAACCCAGATGTGGCAGCTGTGAAAGGGTAAATTCTAAAATAGAATTGTAATCAAGCTTTTATATAAGTCTATGACACAACTCAATTTGGAATATTGCACTCAATTCTGAGCCTGTAGAAAGTGTACAAAGAAGGGAAGCAAACATTATCTGGATTCAAGGAGCTGGGGCCACTGTCACAAGGAAAGTTTCAGCTTGTAGAAAAAAAAAGGATGAATAAGTAGAACCTGATATAGCCATATAAAATGACACCTTTGAGGAAGCTGAATGAGAGAAGATTCAAAAGATATGAAGTCTTTCATCATAGGTAAACTAGAAAATTTGCTAACTCAGGATGCAGTGATGGCTATAACTTTGGTGGCTTTATGCTTCTTAGAAGGTAGGATTGCCACTGGTTACTGATTCATTTGGTTCTTGATTATCTATTATAATCAGAGGCATGTATACCTCTCAATACCGATTGCTATTTGGGCAGCAGAGTTTAGTACCCTTGTCTCTTTCAGGGGAGCTTCTTATAAGCAGCAGTCTCATGGATGTCCCATGGAGCATCAAATGGACATTTCATCAAAATACCATAGCAAAACATACAGCATCAGGACACAAGTACAAACAGGATGGGATTTGCATGTTGATATTACAGCGCACACTTTGCTTTTTCCCAAACTCTAATGTCCCTAACTAATCACCCATTGTAGAAGTAGAATGTCGATGTAGATCTAAGGCCATGAGATCTTCTTAAATTCTTAATTGTGATTGGGGCTGAGGTGCCAGGTCTGTTAACAACTTATGAAGATAATCACCTTATATTTCTTATATTTCTAGACTTCTCATAACTTCAATATCTCACACACTGTTTTGTGTTTCTCATTAAAGGTAAAAGTAAAGACTCCTCTGTCCAGTCATGTCCAACTCTAAGGGGTTGGTGCTCATCTCTGTTTCTTGGCCAAGTACGCCAATGTTGTTCAAAGATGCTTCCGTAGTCATGCGGCCAGCATGACTCTACATCAAGGCACACAGAATGCCCTTCCCACCGAAGTGGGACCTATAATCTACTCACATTTGCACCTATAATCTATTCACATTTCAAATTGATAGGTTTGCAGGAGCTGGGGCAAGTAACGGGACCTTGCCCCGTCACATGGTGCTTGGGATTCAAACCTGGGATGTCAGTTTTCCAGCGGATTAGCTCAGGATCTTTAACTGCCGAGCCACCATGCTCCATGTTTCTAATAAGCATTATAGCAATAGCACTTAGACTTAGATACCACTTTGCAGTGCTTTACAGCCTTCTCTAAGCAGTTTACGGAGTCAGCAAATTGGCCCCAACAACCTGGGTCCTCATTTTACCCACCTCGGAAGGATGGGGGGCTGAGTCAACCCTGAGCCTGGTGAGATTCGAACTGCCAAATTGCAGGCAGCCAACAGGCAACAGAATTAGCCTGCAATACTGCATTCTAACCACTGTGCCACCACCACTCTTTTTATAGAAATTTGCCCGCACCACTGTTGGTTCTTAAACACAAATTAAAATAGGTATAGAGTTTGAGGATTAACACTGATGCTTATTTTCACCTGTTAACTCACTTCCTAAAATTTTTCAAGTATTTAGATTTCCACCTGCTGGGTTACTAATCATCCCCCAACTTTTTTGCACTTCCATGAACAAAACAAAAACCAGATGTTTATTGTTCCCTGGAAAATATCATATGTGCTTTACATTGAGTTATGTAGGTCTCTCCAAAGGCATACCTAAAATATTCCCTTTCAAACAGGAGTGAATTTTATCCCAACTAGGTGTATTCATTTGGTTCCCCAAACATACCTAGCTTGTGTAGATAAACTTGACAGAACCCCCTGAAGTGTCACAAGTGGTTTGTCAGGGAAGTAACAGATATATTTATCCCCACTTAAGAATAATACCATGCCAGCAAATGGAGAAAGGAACAGAGAGGACAGTCACAGTGTGCAACTGACAAATTATGGTGAATTGTTTTCCAGACTGATTGCCTAAAGTGCTTTAGGAGCAAAGGCATTGAAGTGAAATATCATAGTGAAATATCATAGCAGTATTCTTTCTAATTCTCAGCGCTCATTGCTTTTATCTCAGTATTCCCTGCTTTGCTGCAGAATTGGAGGGGGGGGGCTTTAAATATCCATTTGGAAAGTAGGGTGATCTGCCATTCTAATTTTCTTTGGTGTCAAAAAAAAGGCTTAATATCATCCTATCATAATCCTTGACGTATCCTTTTGAAAACTTCCATAATTTTTCAGATTTATTGCCTTAGGGCAGCTCTCTTCTTTGGAACATTTTTCAAATAAACTGCCCAACCAGTAATACCCCTATGGAAAGGCAGACAAGGAAGTGAAAAACATGCCTTCCCACAAACATAATCTATCCAGACCAATGTAAAGGTTGCCATCCAAGAAACTAATGCATCTATCTTTCTAAAAGAGAGGTCCCCGATCCTAGGGCCGTGGCCCGGTACTGGGCCATGGCCCATCCAGTACTGAGCTATGCAAACAGCAGGTGAGCACAAGTGCAAGCAGCTCCACTTGTGCAAATGGAGTTCCACTTATGCAAGTGGAGCAGTACATGCTCATGTGCGTGCCTGCCACTCACACAAAACCATCCCTTCTCCTATCCTGCACCCACCAGTTTACAAAGCCAGAAAAATGGAAGACCGCTGTTCTAAAATATTATGAGCTTCTGAGCAAGGGCAACCTTGATTCTGTATGCATTTGCGCACACACACAAATCCTTACCATGATCATTCTTATTTCAAAAGAGGGGATAATAATAGCAACAGCACTTAGACTTGTATACCACTTCACAATGCTTTTACAGCCCTCTCTAAGCGGTGTACAGAGTCAGCATATTGCCCCCAACAATCTGGATCCTCATTTTGCCAACCTTGGAAGAATGGAAGGCTGAGTCAACCTTGAGCCAGTGAGAATCGAACTGCTGGCAGCCGGCAGAATTAGCCTGTAATACTACACTCTAACCATTGCGCCACTATTAGGGGATTCCCTAATGGAAAGAATTCTGCTGTGTACAAATACATCAACCTAACCATATGAAAATGGTCAAGGTTGATCCTTGCAGTAGGTCAACTTTGTAAACAAATTTCCAGTTCATTAAGAAACAAAAATGTCATCTGAAATTGCATTTTTTTAAACAAAAAGATGACGAACGTAAGAGCACTTCTGCACTTACTATTTGACAGTCCTCATGCCTCCTAAGTCATTTCTATTTCTATTCTCACAGTTTTTGTTCCATTCCGTCAATATGATGTTGTGGGGTGGGGGAGATCTGGTTATTTGTTGATGTTCAATTACCAAACAAATGAATTCTTTATTATAGCCAATGGCTAGCAGTTAAAATAGCTTTCTGCAGTAACCATCCATAGCATAATACAATAATAAGAGAGAGAGAGTAACGTTTAAGCAACAGGAGACTGTATGAGACAAGTAGACCTATTGAAAGAAATTGCCTATCAGTTTTGCTGGCATCCTCTCATTATCTTCTGCTGACAGGGCACCAGCAAAACTGATAGTTTTGAAAGTTGCAGTCTTACACTCTTTATCACTTCTATGTTTGTCTACACCTGCTTTACTATATATACATTATTGCTTGGATGTTCTAGTTCTAGACTATTGGATGGCCCTCATTCATTCATCTATCTATCCATCCATCCAATAATATCAAATTATTAACTAGATAAAAGAGGGGAAATCAATTTCTGAATCAAGATTTGTATTCATGTTTCTTGACCGAATGGAAAAAGGGACAGTCCCGGTTAGTTTAATGTGGGTCAAATTGTTTGCCAATTCACTGAACCAAAGAAGCAAATCTGGTTATTTATATACACCTCGTATTTCTACCACAATCATTGAGCATATTTGATGAGAATTGTTCTTTGTATATGACTTCACCTTTTTCATCAATTTTACAGCCAAAACTATCCTTTTCATTTTTACTAGAATGCTATATCCTGTTCTTCCGTATTCATACTGAATATTCTTTTGTTTGTTTGTTTACTTTCAAATACTTACTTTTCTCAGCAAAAGCAGCTGCCCTAAAGTTGAAAAAAATGGGGAAAAATTAACATCCCAGTACAATGATATTGATGGCCAAAATAAACCAATTGCAAAGTTTATGTTCAAAGCAAAAAAAAAAAATCTTACTTGAGCCGCTGGAATTCTTCATAGGCCTCATCGAAAGCTGCAGTGAAACATTTCAGCATGTTAGGAACTTGACTTTATGAGTTGGCACAAATGCGAGCATATGTACTTGCCTTGCTTTCCCGCCACCCACAGCCTACAGTGAAGTATAGAAACATCAAACAAAATCTAAAAGGAGGGATCAAAGTCAGTCTTGATGACACGTGGAGTGAATAAAGATAATGCATATTCCTGGAACATCTCGAGCACAGAATTGGTGCTTATGAATAAACCAAAGAGAAACAGGGCAATTTCCAAAATACTTGTTTGACAGGGATAAAATGTTGAATGGGTGGTAAGGATTCCTACCTTGCCCAGATAGATCAAGGGTCCGTTTGTGGGTTTCCTTGCCATCAGACAGCTCAAAAGTATATTTCCCTTTATCTTTTTCGGTAGGCTCACATATCTGTATCCATGCGACTTCATCACTACCACCAATTCTCATCTTTTCACTTGAAGAAACCTTAGCTTCCCTGGGTAAACCAAGAGACTGCATTCAAGCAAATATGCATCATTTTGATATACTTGCACATTACAAAACAGGAGAGGGATTGTCCGACCTGCCACAAGACATTGGCGGCCCGCAGGAAGAAACATTGCAAAAGCTCATGTGACAGCAACGTAACACAAGCTTGCTCTAAACAGAAACGATCCTTGGCTCCATTTGTTGAAAAAGATATAGTTCATTAGAGATCAAGTGTATTGCAGTATTGCAAAACCAGACCTGAAAATCATGCACCCAAGTCCCTAAGTTCTACTAAAGGTGGATTTTCAAGAGGCAATTGGACTTTCTGGTTGGTTGGTTTTTTGAAGACGTTTCACTTCTCATCCAAGAAGCTTCTTCAGGTCTGGGTCAATCCCTGTAAAAATGCTGAAGGAGCTTCTTGGATGAGAAGCAAAGTGTCTTCAAAGAAAAACCAGAAAGTCCAGTTGCCCCTTGAAAAAGCACCTTTGGGACAACTGTGATCTGGATCACTGAGAATCTCCATAGATATTCCCTAAGTTCTACTTTTTCCTCCCTAAACTGTCTTCATTGTCCCATCAGTGTAATCAATCAGGTTCAGGCAAGATGTTTTCCTAAAGGTCAGTCCAAATGTAGTTTCTTATGTGGCCCCCCCTCCTTCTTCCAGCTGGGTGACCTTGAGGCAGCGTCTCAAGGAGATATAACACTTACTTTCGTTTCCGGAAGCATTCCCTCCTTCATTCCCCCTCCCCACAGTTCAGGGCAGTCTGTCATCACATAACAGCAAAACATGAGGAAGCACAAGATGGCAGCTGACCGGGATGTTCCTGATTGTCTTAAAGCTAGTTTCAAGCAGCCAGAAAGCCTCAAGCAAAAGTTTAAAGGCCACATGACTCCTAAAAAAAATGTCTGTGGGAAGCTGGCTTTCAAAAAAGTGCCAATAAATGCCACCAGATATGTTCAAATCCTTTGGTGTATCTTAAACAAGCAAACACATTATAGTTAAAGCTGCAAACGTACCCTTATTGAAAGATTGTACTGAAGTTGGAGTTCAAGAAAAGTTTTCTACACTTTCATTATTGGAGATATGTGAGCTATTTGAATACCAAGAAATCTAATAATAATAATAAAAACTGAATTTTCTTCAGAGTGCAGCCTCAATACAATCTTGCAAAAGGTTGGGGATTTGCAGACTTCAATCAGAAGAACTATCTTTGACCAAAAAGCCATTGAAGCATTATATCCTCTGTACCTATAAAAAGAAGAAAATTCTGAGATATTTTTTTTTAAATGAGCAAGATTCTTTTTCAGAAAATAACATCTCCACTTGGCCTTTCCTTTAAATTCTTTCCTCTTTCATTTCTAATTTATTTCACACTTATTTTTGTTCTATCTGTAGTTCAATGTAATAATCTACATGAAGCTTAAAAGCATTTCGTTTTGTTTTGCTTTGGCTTTTTTAAGGAAAAGCATCTCTCTCCTAGGGAGATTTCTATTACTTCTGCTGTTTATCATTTATAGTGGTTTCAGGATGTATCTTGCATTTTCAGAAAAAGAGAGAAAAGACAAGGAAGAGTATCCGAATATTCTAAGAGGAAATAGAGGAGACTAAAAAGATGTTCAACAGGAGGAAAGCAAGCAAAAGCATGCCGCTGTATGACTGGTTAATCCAAGTTTCGTGAGTCGCAAGCAGGAAAGAAAGAAAGAAAATGAGACATTCAGCTCTGGGTTGAAGCATCGTCCCCAATATCTGCAGATAGGGCTGGAGAAAAAAACCCCTTTGAAGTTTGGTAGAACTACAAACACCTGTAGCCAGGTAATTCTGAACTTTATAGAACTGAGGCTGCATTCAGAAGCAAGGTGCTTGCTGTGAGATACTTAGCTGAAGAATCAGAAGCCCTTTCTGCAAGCATATGGAGCAACCATGAAAAATTCAAAGGAAACCTGAAATTTTCGTCTGACATTTTCAAGTTTAAAAAAGGCTCTGGGAATCGTAACACATTTTACTTAACTTCATGCTTTTGCTAACTGATAACTTTAGGTGGGATGACCTTTATATTGCTTTGCATATTTAATGCTTAGGACACAATAGCTTCCTGGTAAGTGTGTGAGATCAAATCAGGAAAAGAACCATTCTCATTGAACAGTCCTGGCAACACAGGTGTCCAGAAGAAGAGCAATCCAAATTGATGGGATTTGACCTATAAAAAACCTTGATGTATAAAAATGGCTAAAGATGTAGTGCAGGGATGTCAAATTTGTGACGACATGTTGTCATCGCATGACATATTGCAACTTTTTTACCCTTCACTTAACTGGGGGTGGGGGTGGCCAGTGGATGATGCATCCAACTTGTGGGCCGCGAGTTTGACATCCCTGATGTAGTGAATAAAGTGTTGTCTTAGAAACCAGTAGATCGTGAATTCTAGTCCTGTCCTGGCCATGAAAGCCAGATGGGTGGCCTTGGGCAAGTCACTTACTTTCAGCCCAAAACACCTCGTAAGGTTGTTGCTGTGGGGAAAATAGGAGGAGAAAAGAGTATGAAGTGTGTTTATCACCTTGAGTTACATTTATAAAGGAGAGACAAATAATAATAAATAATAAGCATCAACTTCCTCAGCCAAACAGATCTGTAGCTTGGAGCTCTGTTAGATCTCTGCTTTCCAGTGTGTGGAGGATTGGCTGCTGTGAGTGGCTGCTGACTTGAAGATTTGTTCCAGGCTCCCTGCTTTGCAAGGTCCTAGGATGATTCAGGGGTGACTGGGGATTGGCAGGCAAAGCTGCCAGCTGTGCTGATGACAGTGTGAAAACATAGATTGGCTCATTTGCCATGCAAAACTTATCACAGGGGAATGTAATTTATTCCTTTAAAAAAAAAGTTAGAAATGACCATCTGAGCTGTAATTTTCCTGCCTGCATAATCACCATCATCCCCAAAATGAGTTTTCAATAGCTACTGAATACCAGTTGACGTTCATGCAGGATTTAGAACTTGTTCTCTCTTACTTGTGATACCAGCTTGATTTCATTTCCTCCATGTAATATTTCAAGAAACACTGCAGCCTTATTCCTTCTGGAGTACAGTGGATCTTCAAAGGAGAAGCTGATTTACCTGCAGTCAGAAAAATGTTGTTTATAATCAGTTTTAAATTCTAAGGTCTAACCCCAGGGGTGTCAAACTCACAGTGTCACATGACATATCGGGACTTTTTCCCCCTTTACTAAACTGGGTGTGGGCGTGGCCAGTGCATGACGCATCTGGCCTGCTAACCAGGAGTTTGACAGCCCTGGTTTAACCTCTTAAATAATAACAGCAGTTTCTTAATACAGTGGATATCATGCTCGAAATTCACATTTTGAACCCATAAACACTTGTGCTGAAAGTTTTCCATAAAATATGCAACACCTTAAAACTGTAGTACAAGAGTCTTTTGTTACATGTAAACATAAATGACATTTATTTCAAAAGTTGTTACTGGCCTTTGCTGATCAATTTTTTAAAAAAAAAATCTGTCCAATGCCCTCTCTTCAAATTACAAAGTATTATCTCCATTATCAAAATGTACTCATTAAGAACATTTACTACGTAATGATGATAAATGTCAAAAATAAGAAAATATTATTACCATCTTCTGATAGGCCTTGTTTATTCTTATAAAGTACCGGTAAATGCCAATTTAGACATATATTTCTATTTAAGGGTGTGATACCAAATTTAAAATGATTTTGTATTGAATCATTGACTAAGAACGTGGTAGTGCCTGATAAATTATTATTTACAGATATAACAAACTGAATTGTCCTAAGCTTACTTCAATAAATGAAGCAAAACCTAACAGATGGAAAAATATTTTACTCCTGCTAGAGAGTAGCACCTTGCTGATTCTGTGTCACCTCTGACCAGTAGTGGGATTCAAATTATTTTACTACCAGTTCTTTGGGTGTGGCTTGGTGGGTGTGGCAGAGAAAGGATACTGTAAAATCTGCAGTCAGAGGTGGTATTTGCTGGTTCTCCAAACTACTCAAAATTTCCGCTACCAGTTCTCCAGAACTGGTTAGAACCTGCTGAATACCCACCTCTGCCTCAGACCCAGAATTGCATCCTTTTAGGACTTGGATTCTAATCAAATTCTAGCTACTTAGATGATATGTAAGATTCTCTATGTAAACACTCTAAGATTTTATAGTTATTTCCTAAAACCTGGAAATACAGAATAACAGAAATACAGAGCTGGATCTTGGAGGTCTTATAGTCCAACCCCCAACCATGTACCATTTCAGACAAATGGTTGTCCAATCTGTTCTTAAAAACCTCCAGTATTGGAGGGCCCATAACTTCTGGAGGCAAGTTATTCCACAGATTAATTGTTCTAACTGTCAGAAAATTTCTCCTTGGCTCTAGGTTGCTTCTGTCCTATAGAGTGATCTTCAAATACCACTTTTTAGCAATTCAGAAGGCCATCAGACTTGGCCTTTTACCCAGGTGCTAGGATAGTATGAGGATACCTGAAGCTGGTGGTGAGGTAGCCTAAGGAGATGATGGGTGCCAGGTTTTTATTTTTTTATTTTATAGTTTATGGTAAAGGTAAAGGTGTCCCTGCTAATTTGACTCTGTTAGTCATTGCCAACTATAGGGGATGGAGCTCATTTCCCTTTTAAGGCCATTGACCCAGTGCGGTCTGAAGACATTTCTGTGGTCATGTGACCAGCATGATGTCACAGAGCACTCTTAACTTCCTACCAAAGTGGAACCTATTTACCTACTTGCATTTGCATGCTTTCGAACTGCTAGGCAGGACAGGAGATCACCCTCTTGTGTGGCACTCGGGTCTCGAACCTGGGCTGCCAGCTTGCTGGCAGACAAGCTCAGCTTCTTAACCACTAAGCCACCACATCACTTACTTTATGATTTTATAGTTATTCATTTTATTGTTGTGAGCTACCCAGAGTTGTGCTTCATCTTAAAGGTAAATCATACAAATCTAAATAAAACAAATAAAAGTGACATTTACTCACCACTGATTCTACTCAATCCCTGGATAATATCATCATATACTGAGGAGAAGAGGAGAAACAATAACCAATCAGCATAGAACAGACTGCTATGTGGTATTCATAGGAGAAAACATTAAGGTAAACATCAAAAATACAGTAAGAGTTATTTCAGAAAACCTTACAGTTTGTATCTCTTCCTTTTGCATTTTCCTGTTGTAGTCCTCATAGAAGTAAAACACATAGATAAGCCTAATGAGACCAAGTTAAGCTTTGCCTCTGGTATGTCGTGTCCAGTGGTGGGTTTCTAAATTTTTTCCTACTGGTTCTGAGAATACGCTTCCTCAGAGGTGGTATTTGCCGGTTCTCCGGACTAGTTAAAATTTCCATAACTGGTGTACCAGAACTGGTCCAAATCGGCTGAATACCACCTCTGGTCATGTCTCATTGGTGATTTTGATAAATCTCATTCATCCTTTGCTGCCTTGCCAACCAATAGTGTTTTTACACATGGGTATACATTTAAAGTGGCAGCAAAACGGAGGATCCTAAGAGGAGGAGATGGTAGCAGTTGGATCAACTGCTGAAGGAACACAACATCTGGAAGCCAATGATCAAGGACACAAGTAAAACCCTCTTTGGAGGATCACTAACTGGACATGGTCAGAGAACAATACAAGGCAATTGCTGCCTCAGAGAACAAAGGCCTAAACTGACTTATGCTCAGGAGCATAGTCTGCTCTAAAAATAAACACTTCTGAGGGGCATCTTTTTTTTAATAGTCTGAATTTATAAAGCTGACAGTACAACCTGGACAACAGCTGCAAGTGTCAGCATTCCAAATAACAATCTCTAAATTAAAAGACTCTGAGACTCTCATCTTCTCAAAAATCCATGTTATTAGAGATGCCATATTGGCACATCTGAGGGAAACCCGAAACTGAGATTTCTGGGTTTTCCCTAGCCCAAGGAGAATCTAAAATCCAACCCCTGCACCCAATAGGTCATCACATGGGCCAATCATTACTTAATTCCAACTGGAGACTATCCCCAGCCCCTCCCTTCCAGGTGCAGAGTAGCAGGTCCTTGACTTTCTGAGAAAGGAATATTGCTATGGCTACTCTTCCGCTGCTCCTTGAAATCCCCCTCCCAAATTCCTAGGCACTGAATGTGGCAGCCCAGAAGCCTCAAAGAAAAATGGTTTCCAAGCTGACAGCAAGTTTTAATTCCTATTGCTAATACTGCTGCTGTTTTCATTAAGTAGGAAGTATATTCGCCCAAACAACAGCAGGGCACTTAGTCTCAAAAAGAATAGAACTGCCATTTAGAAACACAGGAAGAGTTTGGAAATAAGTAGAGCTTTCCGATGGACATTTTTTTCTATTTCTGGATATCAATATCTCAAAGGTCAATAACGACAAAGATGTGTTCACATGGCCTATTCATTATTTGGCATCCTGGGACATTTGTTATAATTCTCTATCCTTTTTTTTCTTCTTCTAAAGAATAACTCATTTCCCCCATCCTGTTTTTCTCCAACATTTGCCACTGTGCAAAGAATCACAGGGCTAGAACCTCACTGGGTAGCATAAGATATGGTACCCTCAGGAGAATTGAGATGTCAACAAGAGAAGGGGGAGATTGGCATTTGTGATTGACCTCCCAGCCAACTCATGGATGAGTAAACTTCTTTTGTGGCTGGGAACCTATCAGGAGTCAGAGTGAAGCACTCTGGAATGGCAAAGGTCAAATAGCTTATCCTTCCACAGACATTCCTCTCTCCAGAAAGGGTTGCTATGGTGGATATTAGGTTGTAATTGTCCTGTAGAACAAACCGAGGCTGCTGCTAAGGTTTCTTAACTAATCCAGCTCCCATATTCCCATGCCATATGTTGTCCAATAAACCACTCTATATTTCATGAACCATCTGGTTCACACAATAATGTGAGACAATGACTGAGTCTCTTCAATTCATGAATTACAAATAACTTGCTTAATTTTTAACTTAGAGTATCTTAGTTTAGGTGTATCAGCAGATACCACATGAATGCTACTCTGAGATATTGTAAATATTTCCATGAGGTTGTCTCAAGTGACAGCAGGAAGTTACAGACCCCAACATATCTGAAAGATGCCAAGCTTTTCTAAAAACTTGTATTTTAAATGTAAAGGCATCAGAAAACAGGCTCTGAATCTTGTGAGGTGCCCATACAAGAACAACCACAACAGATGGAGAGCTATGGTGCCATGTTACAAGACAATTGTGGAGAATTTGGAATCACCAAATAAGTTCTTCTTCTTCATCCCTTCTCAGTTGTGGAAATTGCCAAGGGGGTTGTGGGTAATTGCAATATTAGGCATATGGGTGCATGAATGTCAGCAATTGTATGTAGTTCTAAGTAGTAGGAGCCAACATATAAACCATGGTGATGGCAATGTTGAACCAGGTTCTACTGGGTTTCTGACTTCTGCTGTGCTTGGTAAATTTCCTTTCTCTGTCCCAAGTCAAAAATCCAAAGGCTGCCACTTTCGTTTTTAAAGGAAAGAACCATTCTTGATGGTTTGAGGGAAAGTTCTATAGGGCCATGAGAAATATTTCGTAAGACCTGTCTACACCAGATGCAGCATAGAGGAATATTCACATTGCATAATTTAAGAGAAGGGAAAATACTACTTCATTCCTATAATCTTCAGTTTTAGGATTTTCCATGCCAATCAGTATGGCCACTGGAAAGACACTTGTGGCAGTGGCATTCAAAATATCTGGAAGGCAATCAGATATCATCTTCTAGTCAACTGTAGCTAAATGAAACTCTTTCTCATGCTTCGGGATAAATGATGAATCATTACCTTTCCCTGATATGTCAAGTTCAGAAATATCCTGGCCTCTGTCATCTGACAGTGTTGCCTTATATTCACCTTGGTCCTTTTTGGACAGCTAGGGGGAAAAACATGGTAACATTATTATGACATGAAATTTAATGAAAACCATTTACAGTCAAGCTACATTTCCTCTATCAGAAAGCAAATTTCGTTTGAATTTTGCCTGAGCAGAAGTGACATGAGTAGATTCCCAATGTGGGCCTAGCAAGTTGAGGCAATTATTTAACACCTTTCGTTTAAAATGAACTAAGCTGACTATCATACTTCTTAATTCAGAAGGCATCCTAAATGAGCATAATTTATATAAATCATAAATGACTTGATAAAGTTCAGGGGTTTACTCATTTTGACAGAAAGGCAATCAGGTATTAAATGCTGATACAGAAGCACTTCTGAACATGTCTTCTCATTTTCTGTTTACATCCATTATTATCCATTTTCATCTAAAACAGAAGAAATTATCTAGCAATTGCCACCTTTTAAATGAAGTAGAGAAAGCATCCATGTCAGCATAGTCATTTGGAAGCCTTGAAGTCAACAATAAATTTCATTTATAATTCAGTCAAAACTTTTAGCCCAGTGATTTAAGTTCTGGACTTGAATATAAATTTTATTTTCCCAGAGAAAGCAATTGATAATATATGTGACTTTGATTAGATCACATCAGTAATTAGGACTGATCTGAGAATGCATGAAGAGCAAGTTTCTATCTTCCTTACTTCTTTCCTTCCTTCCTTCCTTCCTTCCTTCCTTCCTTCCTTCCTTCCTTCCTTCCTTCC